GTCCACGTTCCTTAGTAGCTGAGATTATAGGCATGAGCCACTAATACCGGACTATGCTGCTGCTGCTGCTGCTTTTGCTGCTGCTTCTGCTTCTTCTTTTTCTTCCTCCTCCTCCTCCTCCTCCTCTTCCTCCTCCTCCTTCTCTTCTTCTATGTGCTAGTACTGGGGATGGAACTCAGGACATGGGTGCTGTCCCTGAGCTTTTGTGCTTTTTGTTGATTAAATGGAGATGAGTCTCAAGGACATTCCTAGGCTGGTTTTGAAATGTGATTTTCAGATCTCAGCCTCCCGAGTAGCTAGGATTACAGGCGTGAGCCACCGGCGCCTGAGTCTGCAATCTGATGTTTTATATCCGCCATCCCTTCTAGGACCTGTAAACTTGCCCATTTTCTCTGTCTCCAGAACCAGGCTGTCAGCACTATGAGAGCTGCAAACCGGTCCAGCGTGTCGGAGTTCCTGCTCCTGGGACTGTCCAGGCAGCCCCAGAAGCAGCAGCTCCTCTTCCTGCTCTTCCTCACCACATACCTGGCCACCGTCCTGGGAAACCTGCTCATCGTGCTGGCCGTCAGCACAGACGCACGCCTGCGCAGCCCCATGTACTTCTTCCTCAGCCAGCTGTCCTGCGTGGATGTCTGCTTCTCCTCCACCACGGTCCCCAAGGTGCTGGCCAACCACATCCTCGGGACTCACACCATCTCCTACCCTGGCTGTCTCACGCAGATGTATTTTGTTTTTGTTTTTGTTGACATGGACAACTTCCTTCTGGCCGTGATGGCCTATGACCGCTTTGTGGCCATCTGCCAGCCCTTACATTACACAGCGAAGATGACTCCTCAGCTCTGTGCGCGGCTGCTCTCTGGGTCCTGGGTCGTTGCCAGCCTCAACGCGCTGTTGCACACCCTGCTGATGGCGCGGCTGTCCTTCTGTGCGGACAATGCCATCCCGCACTTCTTCTGCGACGTGACGCCCCTCCTGAAGCTCTCCTGCTCAGACACGGGCCTCAACCGCCTGATGATTCTCACTGAGGGCTCCGTGATCATGATCGCCCCCTTCGTGTGCATCCTGGCCTCCTACGTCCTCATCGCCGGCGCTGTCCTGAGAGTCCCGTCCCCCAGGGGAAGGTGGAAAGCCTTCTCCACCTGCGGCTCCCACCTGGCCGTGGTCTGTCTCTTCTATGGCACCATCATCGCTGTGTATTTCAACCCTTCGTCCTCACACTCCGCGGAGAAAGACACAGCAGCCACAGTGCTGTACACAGTGGTCACCCCCATGCTGAACCCCTTCATCTACAGCCTGAGGAACAGGGATTTGAAAGCAGCTCTCAGGAGAGTGGTGGGTAGGAAGACGTTTTCAATGTGAGGAAAGGATGCAGCCTGCCTGGCACCGTGGCTCCTGTTTGTAATCCTAGCTAGGGGGAGGGGGAAATGGGGAGGGCAGAGGTTCAAGCCCAGCCTGAGTAAAAGGTTTGTGAGATTCCATTAGAAGCACACACACACACACACACACACACACACACACACACACACACACACACACACAACCTAGGCATGGTGGTATGATCTTATCTTCCTAGCCATGTATAATGGCATAAAATAGGAAGAGTGAAGTCCAGGCTAGGAAACCAGAGAGTCTACCTGGAAAATAACTAAGAAAAAAGAAATAGAAAAGCAGCAGCAGCAGCAGCAGCAGCAAAGAACACACTGATTCTTGTTCCTAATCTTGTTCCTAAGCAACTGCACTTTTACCAGTTGAGTCCAATGAAGTAGTTTATGCACAGGTAGTTTGGAAGCTGTGGGATGGGCGAGATGGGACAGAAAATGAAGCAACTGTTGGTGTCCTGGTGCCTTAGTGCCCTGGTGCTTCTGTGAAGCAATGGTACTTGATTAACGGATTGGTTGATTGGTGGGTTGATTGATTGATTGGCAGTGTTGGAGTGTGGAGTCAGGCCTGCACTTGCCTGTGCTCCTCCGTTTGAGCCGTACACCCAGGCTGTTTTTGGCTTTATTTGTGGAATAGGTCCGGACTTGAGTCCTCCTCCTGACACTGAAATCTCCATGCTCAGTCTTTAATTAGTTGAGATGGTCTTGCACAGTTTTGCCCCTGGTGTGGCCTTGAACCATGGTTGTCTCCATCTGTACTTCCAAATAGGCTAAGATTCCTGATGATTAGTAGCTAGGATTACAGCTGTGAGCCACCAGCACCTGAGTCTGCAACCTGAGGTTTTATATTCACCATCACTTCTAGGACCTGCAAGCTTGCCCATTTCCTCCCTGTTTTGTTCTCTTTCGCTGTGTCACTGCATGAGACTTTGCACTCACACAGCCAATACTGCCGATGTTCTTTTTTTTTGTGTGTGTGTTGGTCGTGGGGCTTGAACTCTGGGCCTGGGCGCTGTCCCTCAGCTCTTCAGCTCAAGGCGAGTGCTCTACCACTTGAGCTACAGCACCACTTCCGGTTTTCTGGTGGTTTATTGGAGATAGGAGTCTCACGGTCTTTCCTGCCCGGGCTGGCTTTGAACCATGATCCTCAGATCTCAGCCTCCTGAGTAGCTAGGATTACAGGCGTGAGCCACCAGCGCCCGGCCCTGCCGATGTTCTTAATCCACGCACTTGTGGACACGCCAGACGGTAAAAATAGGACACTGTAGAACATTCGAGGATAGATAAAACCAACAAGGTAACTCCAACTCTTTTGTACTAGTGATGGTTGTAAAAAGGGCTTCCTTGTGATATTTCTACACACACACACACACACACACACACACACACACAATGCATTGATCCTATTCACCCTGGCTGTTATGTTCTGTGGTCTTATCTTCCTCCTTCTCTTTTTTCCTTACCATGTAAAGGTTTTCCTTATATGACCTTCATACATTCCTGTAAAGTACTTCATCATGTTCACCCCTCCATTAACCCTCCTTTCTCCTCTCCCCTCCTACTGGTTCAAGCATGTTTTCTTTTGTATTATTTTTAGGTTGAGACTTCATGAGAGAAAATATGCAATATTTGTCTTTCTCCATCTGGCTCATTTCACTTCATACAATGAGCTCCAGTTCCATCCATTTTCCTACAGACGTAATTTATGCTTCTTTATAATTGAATACTTCATGATGTATATACATATTATATTTTCTTTACACATTCATTAGCTAATGGGTGCCTGGATGGATTCCATTGCCTGGCAGTTGTAAATAGTGCTGCAATGCACATGGTGGGGGCAGTGTCTGCTGTATCTTGGCTGACACTGTTCTCAATATATGCCCAGGTCTTTTGTTAATTCATTCCTAGAGTTTTTCTTTTTTTTCTTTCTTTTTTTTTTTTTGTCGGTCATGGGGCTTGAACTTTGAGCCTGGGCGCTGTCCCTCAGCTCTTCAGCTCAAGGCTAGCACTCTACCACTTGAGCCACAGCTCTGTTTTTTTGGAGGTTTATTGGAGATTAGAGTTTCACAGACTTTCCTGCCTGGGCTGGCTTTGAACCTCGATCCTCAGATCTCAGCCTCCTGAGTAGCTGGGATGATAGGTGTGAGCCACCGGTATTCAGCTCCTAGGGTTTTTTTAAGCTACTGTAAATAGGATTTTCTTGATTCATCCTGCCCCCCAGCCTGTTCATTATTGATAGAAAAGTTATTGAATTTTATATGTTCATTTTATATTCTGTTACTTTACCAAAAGTATTTATGAAACCTAAGAATTTTTTTGGTGGAGTCTTTAGGATCATTTAGGTATAGCATCTTATTGTAATAAGCACCCTGATTGTACATACCTATTCAACTATAACTCCATCTCTAAAACAGGACTACACCACCAACCAGGGAAATAAGTTCCTTGTGGTTTAAAATATTTAAAAATGGGGCTTGGAAGGTGGCTCAGTGGTAGAGCGCTTGCCTTGCATGCCTGAGGCCCTGGGTTCGATTCCTCAGCCCCATATAAGCAAAAAAAAGAAAAAAGCTGGAAGTGACGCTATGGCTCAAGTGGTAGAGCGTTAGCCTTGAGCTGAAGAGCTGAGGGACAGCGCCCAGGCCCAGAGTTCAGGCCCCACGACCGGACCCCCCCAAAAAATTTTAAATATGCTACCCTTACTCAAGGCTGTTTTGGCATTTGTTTCCATGTAACAATCATGCTGTCCTTACTCAAGGCTATGTTTTTCTTCTGAAACTTCTCACTTGGCTTGTAACTACCAAAAAGACAAAAAACAAAAACAAACAAACAAAAAAACCACAAACACAAAACTATTAAGGACTTTCTGCCCCTAAACAAAATAAGAAGGGAATAAGGAGCCCTAAAAACCAACTCAATACTATTACTTGGATATCCCAAAGACACAGTGTAATTGCTAGCCAGGTAATAAAGACTTTCTATTAACTGCACTCTCTGTCTGTGTGGTCTCTCCTGGAGTGTCACTTCATAATATTTGGAGGCCCCAGCGAGATTACCAGGAGACAAGACCCTGGATGCTGGGTTGTATTGGCTGGTGGCTGGGCACCAGGGAGTTAGACCAAGTCGATTCCTAAGGGAGGAACCACAGGAGACTTTCCAGGAGCCCAGGAACCATACTTATCTCCTCTCTACCAACCTGGAAGTCCCCAGGACTTCCAATCTAAATTGTTTTGGACATCACAGAAAGTCACTTGTTCTTGGAGACCTCCAGAGGTCAATTTGTGTGCTATAAGTATACCACTTACTTAAAAAAAAATCTTTACCAATAAAATCAATAAAAAATGAAAGCCAGCCCAACACCAAAACAACTATAATAAAACAAAAAAAGACTTAAAATTAAACACCAATTTTTAGCTGTGCCAGGCGGCCCCAACATAGGCTGCACTATACCAGACCATGCTCAAAACAAGCACCTGACATGTTGACAACTTTTATATCCTTTTATTTTATTTTTTAAAATTTCTTAAAGCCTTTACTTTTGAGACATAATGGATTAAAACCTTACACACATGGAAAAAGACAGACATGATCACAGTTGAACAGAATCTAGTCAGAAACATTTTAGTGACTGCCAGCTAATGGTGAAGCTGAAGTTCTGGGAGCCTGGCATGCTGCAGGGTCAAAGGAATGAGTGATTAGTACCCTCTCCTTCTTCCTCACCTCGTCTTCCACAGAATCCACACCAACCTCCTCATAATCCTTCTCTAAGGCAGCCATGTCCTCACGGGCCTCAGAAAACTCTCCTTCCTCCATCCCCTCACCCACATACCAGTGGACAAAGGCACGCTTGGCATACATCAGGTCAAACTTGTGGTCCAGGTGAGCGCAGGCCTCAGCAATGGCTGTGGTGTTGCTCAGCATGCACACAGCACGCTGTACCTTGGCCAGGTCTTCACCAGGAGCCACAGTGGGAGGCTGGTAATTAATGCCAACCTTGAAACCAGTGGGACAGCCATCCACAAACTGGATGCTGCGCTTGGTCTTGATGGTGGCAATGGCAGCATTAACATCTTTGGCAACCACATCACCACGGTACAACAGGCAGCAGGCCATGTATTTACCATGGGCCAGGGTCACATTTCACCATCTGGTTGGCTGGCTCAAAGCAAGCATTGGTGATCTCTGCTACAGAAAGCTAAAAATATGGAACGCTTCACGAATTTGTATGTCATCCTTGCGCAGGGGCCATGCTAATCTTCTCTGTATCATTCCAATTTTAGTATATGTGTTGCCGAAGCGAGCACTCCTATCCATTTATTGATATGAACTTACTTAGCCTCCTCTGACTAATTTTGGTTTGCCAGGTAATAGTGTCACTATTTCTATTTGCTTTCACTCTTCGTTTGCTTGGAATATATTTGTCTTCCTTTCAGCTTAAGCCTAAGTTTTTTTGCCAGTGAGGTGAGTTTCTTGTAGGGAATGTGCAGTGGGGTCCCATTTGTCTTTTATTCTTCCATATGTGTGATTCTTCTACATCTTCTTTAGTGGTCATGAATACCTTCCCTTTTTGTTTATTATGGACAGTTTTTTTTAATGTATTCTTCATGTATGAAGGATAGCTTTGTCAGATTCAGTAATCTAGCTTGGCAGTTATTTTCTTTCAGAGCTTGAAGTACATTATTTCATACTCTCCTTGTTTTTAGAGTTTCAGTTCTGAAATCTGCTGCTATATTCATTATGTTATATTGGTGACTTATAAGTGACTTGGCACTTCTTCCTTGACTCAACATTGTTTCCTTATTCTGTATATTTAATGTTTTATATGCTATGGAGAGGCTATTTTTGGTCTTGCCTGGTCACAATGTCATCTTTTTCTCAAAATTTAAGATAGTTTCTGCTGTTGTATTTATTTTATTGTATTTTATTTTATACCTTCAGTTTGCACTTCTTCATCTTCTATGCTCATGATCCATAGATTTCATCTTTTCATACTATCATCTAGTAGTTATAAGAGAGGATTTGATTTAGACATGTCCACATTTGATTACAATTTATCAGATTAATAGTTTTCATAATTCTCTCTTTCCTTATTTTTTTGACAGTCCTGGGTCTTGAACTCAGGGCCTGGGCCTTGTCCCTGAGATTCATTTGCTCAAGGCTAGCACTTTACCACTTGAGCCACAGTGCCACTTCTGGCTTTTTCTGTTTATGTGGAACTGAGGAATCAAACCCAGAGCTTCATGAATGCTAGGCAAACATTCCACCACTAGTCACATTCCCAGCTCCCCTCCTTATTTCTTAAAACATTTCCAATAGGTTTCATTATCCTAACATACATATATATAACATACATTCACTCTTTGTGTACCTCTCTAGGTTTAGTGTTCAATGGAGGTTTCAGATGACTGGTATGTTTTAGTTGTATTTTATTTATTTAGTTTTCTTTTCTTGTTTTGGTGGTCCTGGGGTTTGAACTCAGGGCTGTGTCCCTGAACTTTTTGTTCAAGTCTAGATTTTACCACTTGAGCCACAGTGCCACTTCTGGCTTTTCCTGAGTAGTTTATTGGAGATGAAGCTCATGGACTTTCCTGCCCAGCCTGGCTTTGAACCGCTATCCTCAGGTCTCAGCCTCCTGAATAGCTAGGATTATAGGCATGAGCCACTGGCACCTGGCTATATTCTTGTTTTTGTTTTGTTTTGTTTTTTGGTAATATGCAATAGATTAATGTTTTAGAGTTTCATTTAAATTCTTAGCACTATTTATACTACTGGGGTCTTATAAAAATATAAATTTGTTGTAATCATTCTCAGGGACCTTTATAACTTTGATTATCCTTAATGCTCATATCATAGCACTATTATTTCCAGCTTTATCTAAAGCTCTGAATATATACATTTAGGTAAGCAGACTCACTGGCTGGCTTTATTTTATTGTTTGCTAAATTTGTCTTTTTTTGGGGGAGGGTCTGGTGTGGGGCCTGAACTCTGGGCCTGGGCGCTGTCCCTCAGCTCTTCAGCTCAAGGCTAGCGCTCTACCACTTGAACATCAGCCCCATTTCTGGCTTTTTTCTTTTTCCTTATGTGGTGCTGAGGAATCGAACCCAGGACCTCAGGCATGCAAGGCAAGCGCTCTACCACTGAGCCACCTTCACAGCCCCTAAATTTGTCTTTATTTATGTTCTAATTGACCTATCTTAAGTTCGGGTATTTTGTCTTCATCCAGTCTACTGACAGGGCTTTTAACTGAGTCTAAATTTGATTCATTGAGCTTCTCATTTCCAGAATTTCAATCTGAGTTTTTTTCATTTATCTTTCACATTCTAAATTGTCTTCTTCATTTCTCTTTTCTTTTTTGGTAATACTGGGATTTGAACTCAGGATTTTGTACCTGTTACATCGGCACAGGCACTCTACTGCTTGACCTCTGTCTCCAGACCTTTCCTCTCTGCTTATGTTTGAGAGAGCAGCTCAGATTTTGTTGGATAAACTGGAAAGAGATCCTTTACCCCCTGCCAAGCCTGGGCTGTGATTCTCCTTCCAGTGTTCCTTATGTTGTTGGAAATGACCAGCATGCATGATGATGCCCAGCCATTGTTTCCCTATACTTAGGATAACAGGTATGGGCCTATGCATCCTAAGTGGCTGGGATTACAGGCATGATCCACTGATACTTAGCTTCCAGATATCTTTCTATGACGCACATAGCCCACAAAACTGATCATTCCAACATGGATGCATTTAATGGAACAAAGAATAAATTAAAAGCACACTAGAACAATAGTCTATAGTCAATATACAGGTTAAATAGAAATGTGCGTTGAGGGGCTGGGGAAGTGGTTTAGTGGTAGAGTGCTTGCCTTGCATGAATGAGACCCTGGGTTCGATTCTTCAGCACCACATAAGTAGAAAAAGCCAGACGTGGTGCTATGTCTCAAGTGGTAGAGCGCTAGCCTTGAGCTGAAGAGCTGAGGGATAGCACCTAGACCCAGAGTTCTGGCCCATGACCGACAAAAAAAGGAAAGAAAAGAAAAGAAATGTGCGGTGACCCTGACCAGAAGCGTGTATGATGGAAACCATTTGTCGTGCTATCCTTTCTACACTTTTCTCGCAATTCTCTCCAAAGTAGGCAAGCTGCTGATAGAATTGTCCTCCCTTTGCCTGGAATTTCCTCCCATACTTTCCTTCTGACACTCATCTCCATTTTGGAGAAATAACCTACACTGGTTTAAGAGTCAACTCCTTCATTAACCTCCTCCAATTCTGCCCCAAAGGCTTACATACTGTCAGCTGTGGAGGTGGGGAATAATGGGAAGAAGCTAGGTCCTGGGGACATGCCGGGTTTTTTTTGTCAGCCATGAGGCTTGAACTTAGGGCCTGAGCACTGTCCCTGAGCCTGTTTGTGTTCAAGGATAGCACTCTACCACTTAAGCCATAGTGCTACCTCTGGTTTTTGAGTGGCTACTTCAAGATATGAGCGTCACAGGGACTTTCCTGCCTGAGCTCTCAAACCACAATCCTCAGATGTCAGCCTCCTGAGTTGTTCGGATTACAGGTGTGAGCCACCAGCACCTAGCTAGACATGCCTTTTAAGAACATATTGGGATTCTATCTCTTCCCTTACTATCTGTTTTCCTTCCCTGTTCATGCTGTAGTTAGCTTTCTTTTTGTTAGGACTTGCTATGGTGTACAGGCTGGGCTTGACCTTAAGGTCCTTTTACTTCAGCCTCCTAAGTCCTAGGAATAGAGGCACAGACCATGACACCCTTCTGTGTCTTTGCTTTTTTGACCCCTTCTAGGCTGAGGAGGGTTGGGTTTTGACATTTTGGCCAAATTGCATAGTGATATGGACTATCTACTCCTCAAGCAGCGTTCCAAATACTCTGGTCTAACCTAGTGTGCTAAGAGGGAGGAGAGATGGTATAAACATGGTTCCTGGACCATACAGACTGTGCATCAGGGGGGTCCATTCCCAGGAAAGAGTAAACCATTTCACTTGGAGAAATACTCTCCAAAAAACATCTACAATGGAGCTTTGCTGGATTCTCATACAGACTCACTCTTTAGAAATGGACTATTTATCTGAAATACAGTTGAAGCCCATCTCAAAAAGTGTTGTTAATATTCCGCTCTGAAAACTGGGGATGAGACGTCCTACCTGCCTTCCCACGTCGGTGGACACACCCTGTCACCAACCTGATGAGAGACGGGGACCTGCGGATGTGTTTAGACCAGGGACTTGTCTCTATCCCTAATAGGTTTAAGTTTCCACCCAACAGTAACATCTACAGTTTGACAATATTTCTTTGTCATCATTGTTTGGTCCAACGGGGCCAACGGAATAAGGAAGGCCAATTATTTTCTTCTTGTCTCTAATGAGGCTCTTAGGAATTCTGGTCCCAGTGGCCAAAGCGGCTCCTCCAAATGCCTGATCCACAGCTGCCCTGCAGAGAAGAGTCACACCAGGTCAGCACCACAGTCCCAGAAGATAAAAACGCTAACCAGGACAATGGGCAGCGACAGCAGCAGACTACCGAGGTAAGGTTTACAGCAAGAGACTTAATGTTGTAATTCTTTTAGGAAAATTCTTTGTTACATATCTCAGACCCAGGAAGTAGTAAGCGGAGTCTTCTGTCTGTGGGTTCTCACTTCAGACGCACTCAGTAGTAGCTAACCCAATTCGTGTCCCTTCGTATGAGCTGGTGGGGATGGGTCAGAGTGGGAAGAACAGAAGAACAATCAAGCCGAGATACACAGACACAGAGTTTGTATGTGTTTTCAATGTTAAAAGTATGAAAGAAAAATCATGGTGGCAAGTAGAGAAAATAGTAGCATCGAGTATTGGCAGGCTGTCTAGCTGTGGGGGCACACTTGTTTTAAGAAGCTGCCTGAACTGCTTTGCGGTTGTGCTGCTGTCTATGACCTGATCACATCCTAACTACCCCTGCCTAATTTTGGACCTGGATGCCCTCTATTCTTCTCCGCATAGACCATGAAGGGCGCAAACCAGTCAGCCATCTCGGAGTTCCTCCTCCTGGGACTGTCCAGGCAGCCCCAGAAGCAGCAGCTCCTCTTCCTGCTCTTCCTCACCACATACCTGGCCACCGTCCTGGGAAACCTGCTCATCGTGCTGGCCGTCAGCACAGACGCACGCCTGCGCAGCCCCATGTACTTCTTCCTCAGCCAGCTGTCCT